ACTCTTGGCCAGGAGTGGATCTCCAGGGCCCATGCAGTCTGCCCTCAAATTTGGAAATGAACAAACAAACACCCAGAAATAACTATGCCTTTGCATGCAATGGGATTTGAGCATCCACAATTTTGGTATCCACAGAATTTGGGTATCCGTGCGTAGAGGAGGTTGACCACCAAGTCTTCCATGTGGGCCTCCTAAGTTCTCCTCAGGCGCCACTAGAGGCCAGCAGTAGCCAACATGAAGCAGGGATCAGAAACGGAGCACAGCAGTGGCGCAGGCGATGCTTGGCCAGGTCTCGCACTCGGGATTGTTCCCTTTGTTCTGAGCCTGACTTGGCATTTGGTCACCCTCAGCTTCTGGGCTTTGGCAAAGAGCTGCATGTGCAATGAGAGGCCTAGGCAGGAGTCCAAAGGGAGCGGAGGGAAATTAGCTGCTGTTGCTTTTTCTTTGCTTTTTTTTAGGAAAATGGGTTTAAAAATAAAAGAACCCATCCTTTCTCTCATCCTGCCCTCCTCCAAGTTAAAAATAAGCAGGTGTCAGAAAGCCGAAGCAGCTCAATTTGCAGAAAGGGTATAGAAGCAGAGGCCTGATCCTTGGGATGGTGCTGGGGGTTAAGAGGTCAGCTGAGGTCAGCAAGAGGAGAGGGCTGAGGACTGACCCATCCGTGCCTCATTCCCTTCCTTCCATTCATGCCTCCTGCCCTCCAGAGCCTAGATTCTTTATTCCATCTTAACACTGACTTTTAAAATGTTTTCAACCAGTTGTTGTTGTTGTATGCCTTCAAGTCATTTCTGACCTATGGTGACCCATGGAATTTCCTCAGCAAGATTTGCTCAGAGGAGGTTCACCATGGCCTTCCCCTGAGGCTGAGAGCGTGTGACTTGCCCAAGGTCACCAAGTGGGTTTCATGGCTGAGCTGGGAATTGAACCCTGGTCTCCAGAGTCATAGTCCGACACTCAAACCCACTACGTCACACTGGCTATTCTTATCTGTTTAATTAGTAAGCCACCTTGAGCCCCAAATTTCAGGGGAAAGTGGAGCACATAGGGATGATGGGAGTGACAGTCTTCCTTTGTCCACAATGCATTTTGAACAAGGTAAGAATCGCACCCCAAACCTTATCCATTCCCAGCACCCCCATTTGCCACCAGAGCTTGGAAAAGTTCCTTTTTGAGACCATCTCTCCCAGCCAGTGCAGCCGTGTTTCATAAATGCCACTTCTTTGCAGCAGGGCAGGAATGAGAGAGGACCGGAGGGATCTCCAAGTCCTCCAAGGGTCGTAGTGACTGACAATGAAGGAACAAGGAGGCTGAGAATCTGATAAGGCCGCCATGGAGATATCCCTTACTGTACTCTGCAATGGGCTAGTAAAGCCAGCCTTGGATTATTCACCCAAGTGACCTTCCCCTGGTTGTAAAGGAGTCCAGAAGTCCAGCAAGATAAGCAAAGCTGGGCAGAGAGAGGTTCTTAAGCAGAGCATGGAAATGTGACCTTTTTTGGACTACAGCTCCCAGGAAGCCCTGGTTCATCTGCTGGGGGGATGATTCAGTGATGTAGACTGGAGTCAATTGACTCAGACTTAAGTCGGACTCAGGTCACTTCAATGACTTGACTTGACTTGAGACTTGAATGTTTGTAGTGACTGACTTGCTGGGGCCATTCACTCTGCCCCCAAAATCTGAGGCCCATTTCTGGGAAGGGACCAGCAAATGCGTTCGGCAATGGCCTGAAGGCAGAAGGAGCCTTCTAAAGCTTTTCAAAAGATTTTGAAGGCACCTCTGATGGGCGGCAGGGACAGGCTACCAAGCAGACCTCAGCCCCAGACTCAAGCCATTGCTTAAGATGCTTGGTGTTCCCTCCAAGAAACGCATCCTGCAAGAAATGCAAGAAGTGCAAGAAATGCCCCCTGCCTCCTTTTTTTCTGTTAATGTTAGTTCCTAGACTTGGGACTCCAACTGAGACTTGACTTGAAAATATCTTGCAAGGACTTGAGACTCAATTTGAGACTTACAGACTTGAGACTTGAGTCTTAGACTGAAAGACTTGAATACATTACTGGAGAATTCTGGGAGATGTAGTCCCAAAAGGTCATGTCCCCAAGTTCTGGTCTGGAGGCATGTGGGTCTAAAACTGGGGTGGGCAAACTGTATGGGCATTTGGGAGCCAATTCCCCCCTGCCCACAATGGGCCATACCCCCCCCCCACACACAAAGCAAGCCAAAATGTCTCCATTTTTTCTCTACAGTCCTTCTCAAAATGGTGGCAAGAAGTGGCACTGTGTCACCATTTTGAGAGGGAATACAGAGGAAAATGGAGGTATTTGGGAACAGTGCAGAATTCTGGGTTCTTTGTAAGGATGAGGGTGGGATTGTTTCTGTATAATTTGGGGGCAACAAATGTGCCAACTTTTTAAAAGAATAATTGGAGGGTTGGGGGTCTTTGGGGAATTGATGGAACAATTTCAAGGGTCATAACTGTGGTCCAGAAGTGGCCCAGAGGCTGCATAAACAATCACCTTGATCTAAAACAATGAAGCTCTTGGGGATGCAAGGACAAATCCTGCCCTTCTGTTGCATGAAATGAATGGATGTTATCATTGCCATGAATGGAGTTTCACAGAGCAGGAGAATCTCTTCAACCAGGATCGTGTCCCAGCTACACCAGCTTCGTTGGGAGTTGGGCTTCATCCTGGTTGAAACAACATTCTGTGCAACCGTTGCCATTTTTGTCTCTGTGGCATGGTATTGTGGGTCCCTCCTTTGTTGTGTTTCTGTCCTAACCAACTCCGAACAAAACTGGACCGAAGCACGACAAAGGAAGGACCCACAATACCAGGCCACAGAGACAAAAACAGCAACGGTTGCACAGAATGTTGTTCCCAACCAGGATGACGTATTGGTAGAGACCCTAACTGTCTCAAGGGTACAAATGTTATCAGACATTTCAGCGGTGCAGGAATTTCCAGAAAGATAAGACAGCCAAGGGCTGGCTGTATCTCCTGCAAATATGAAAAGGCATGAAATTGGTTAATAGGTAACTTGGCAACTGGCCCACCGCAACATCCAGGTGTGGCTTCTCCATTGGACTTGCAACATCTCCCGCCGTCCTTTGCTCAGCATCTCTTTGGGTGGAGATCTCACCAGCCAATATTCCCTGGCTTTGCTATTTCAGTCCTCTGGGCCAAGATGGAAATGGGGCCACCTGAAAGAAGAAGGCGAAGGATGCCTTTGACAGGGAGCCAGGCAGAAACAAGGAAGCACGCACCTGCCTCCCAAAGTTTGGCTAGTTTGCTGCATTGCAAACATGGGTGGGATCCTTCTGACATCTCAGTTCCTTACAGAACTCTGAAAGTAGGAAGAATTCAAGAGTTATAAATCCTTGACTCTGTTTGGGGACGGGGACGGGGGGCACAAAAATTGGAGGAACCATTTCAACAAGGCTATAGGTCATGATGTGCTGTTGACATTGTTGAGAGCAGTGCCAAAGATCTACTAATAGGTTGCATCTGCACTGCAGAAATAATGCAGTTTGACACCACTTTAACTGCCGTGACTCCATGCTATGCAATCCTGGGATCTGTAGTTTTTGAGATATTAATCCTTCTCTGTTAGGGAGAGCTCTGGGGCCCCAGCAAATCCCAGGATTCCCAGACTAGGAATCCCAGACTAGGATGGTGGAATAGTTGACTTTGAATCCTTACTTATCCATGAGAAATCCCTTTGGTGACCTTGCGCCAAACATCCACATTTGCATTTCCATTTCCCAAGTATTTCCAAGTCCATTTGCATCTCAACAAGGGCCCCTCCTCTCTTGCAATCCAATAGGCCTCCGATCCTATGAGGTCGCAAAGCTCATAGCTTTTGGTTTGCAACATCTCACCTGATGAAGAAGAAACCCGTGGAACTTCCAAAGCTTGCAAGAAGTCTATTGTGAATTTGGGTTGGCCAATAAAGGTATCACTGTCTGGAGGATTATTGTCTGAATTTGCTAAATGGCCAACACAGCTACCCCTGAATCTTTTTTTTTTTAATTTGTCATGTTATTTTTTTCTTTACCCACATTTCACATTGTGCATTCTGGCAGCATGCCTCCAAAACCATGAATAAGTTGCCACCAAAGTGAAATTACGCTTTCACCAATAATATTTCCACCAGAGGGGGGGAAGGGAGCATTTCCTCTCTTCTTCTTCCTCTTCCCTCCCTGTCTCTTTTCTCTCTGCCTCTCAGCTATTTTTAATTGAATTAATATATCCTTGCACCTCTAATTGATGCCGCTTTTTCCTGCCAACTTCTCATGAGGTTGGCTGTCTCCTCTTACCAAAGAACTGGGAAGTTTTTCCCCAGTCCTAAAATTGGAAGCATAGGTAAGATCGAGACAGAATTGGGTTTGCTGCTTCCCCTTTTTGCAAAAGCATCCAACGTTTTAAGAGATGCGAAGGCAAGGGAGGGGAAGGAGAGGTGGGAAATAAATACAATAAATACTTCTCTGCAGTCAGTGGAGCCAAGAGACACAACTACGCACAGAGAGAGAAAGTGTGTTCATTAAGACATCAAGAGGCTTGCTTCTTACTTCTGGCTTGAGTCCTCTGGAGTAGAAAAGGGAGAGCGTCTAAATTTAGGCGTTGCAGAGATGATTGGGGCATAGGCTGCGAGAAGAGAGATTTTAATGCAATTACAAGCCAAACTATGCCTTGTCAGAGAGGAAGAAGAAGCAGGAGGAGAACAAAACATGACAGCTCACTGCCCGGATGCCCATTTTGCAGCGCTGGGAAGCTGGCCTTCCTTGGCTGAGTCACTCTTGATCTTGCTCTTCTTCTGAGCTGGGAAAGAGAAAAAAGAAAGAAAGAAAGAAAGAAAGAAAGAAAGAAAGAAAGAAAGAAAGAAAGAAAGAAAGTATTGGAATGCAAGATGGTTGTCCAAGCCAGCCTGGTTGTCCAAGCCAACCTGAGTCATGGCTCCTGTGCATTTGCAGGCATCTTGGTCTTCTTGTTGTGTGCCTTCAAGTCATTTCCGACTTATAGTAAGGAAGAAAACCCATGCATTTGAGAGAATGT